AGTGGGGCTGGCTGACTCGCCAGAGGTCGATACTCTGGACGACCCATAGGATGCCACGAATGCCTGAAGGAGAGGGAGGCGAGGCCAGAGGCAGGCTCAGCTGCTCTCGGGTGATCCCGCTTTGGTGGCTGAAGGACCCGATGGTCCTGTCACATTCGCGTTCCGAGTCGTGGGGGTAGAAGAATTCGAGGTAGAATCGTGTCAGCGCTTCCTTGAAGTACAGCGGACCGCCAGGCTCGCCGGCAGCATCTGCAGGGAGGCAGCATATGAGGCACCAGTTTTCTGGAGAGCTCAACAGCTGCGGCCGCGATGGCGGAGTCGGCCGCGGTTCGAGCGAGCAGTTTTTGGCTGCGGGATCGAATCGCGGAAGGCTCATGCCCTCGCGGAGCGACGCGGGTCGCGCGCGGCGCGCGCGTGTGCGAAATGCGACAAAAGACGAAAGACGACAGGCGCCTGAGCGCTGAGCGACTGAACGACCGTCGCCGCAATCGACACCGCTGCCATTTTGACGAGCAGCGCGAGCGCGCTCGTCGGCGGCCAGCCGTCGCGGGCCGGGCCGAGCCCGGCCTCAACCGGCCGCGCCGCCGCAGCAGGCCCGGAGGCCCACATGGCGGCCGACCAGCTGATAAGGAGGCCTCTCTTCCTTCTTGATGTGTTGGTATTGCGAAAAATCTGTATATATCTCTCTCACATATCGCCCCGGGCAAGGCCAAGGAGAGAGGCTACTCAGTTAAGTACTCATTCACCCTTTAGGTGTTCATGCCGCCGCACACACACAGCGGGTCCCCAAAGGGTGAAGGCCTTCCCTGGGACCCCGTGTTGCGTGATTGTCTCTGTGCGATTTCGGGCCCGGGAGCATTCGGAGCACTTGGAGCGCCGTCATTAACCGCACATCCAGGGCCGGGGAGCTAAGCAGGAGCTAAGAAGCGCACCCAGCGGGCCCGGGGTAGCGGGGTTGTGCGTTCCTGTGCCGGGGTTGTGCGTTTGGGATCCTTTATCACAGACCAGCGCATAGCGCTATCGGACGTTTCTTCTCATACTTCGTCCGAGCCTTCTCCCGGATAAGGAGGCTTCCTTTCTTCTTCTCTTTGTTTTGTGTTCGCCTGGAGAGTTTTTTGTTGCCTGTTAGTGCCAGTGTGTCTGTGTGTCGCTCGTGCGTGTCGTCATCATCTGTCTATAGCGTCCACCCATACCGCGTTGGTGTCCAGTCCGAGCCTAGCTGTTCTTCACCTTTCTACCTACCTACCTCTCTTCTATCCTCTCTCTCTACATCGCTGTAAACCAGATGCTTTTCAATTTCGAACGTAGAAAATTCTTTTCGCCTGTTAGTACCGATCCAATCCAGTCCCGTGCAAAAAAAGAAAGAAAACAAAAACCCCAAGGGAGGGATGGGAGGACGGCACGCCGCCACCACACAGGGATTTTAAAGCCAGTTCCGTGCATGGTGTCCTGCGCGGCCTTAGTGGAACCATTTTCTTTTTT